GACATATTGAAGAACTGTCAGGCAGGATATCTTCGACATTAACCTCTCCACTGCTGAGACTTTTCCATACGTTTGTACAGACAAAATATAATATAATTATTAATTCAAGAGAGATTTAAACAAAGCTATAATGTGTTTTTCCTTATCTAAGAATAAACAGAAAGTTTCCCTTTACACTAGCAGGAAAATGTAAAGAACCAGCTGTGGAAAACACTGGTGATTTCACACAGCAGTAAAGGAGTTAACTGAAATTGACCAACCAAACTTTTCAATCCCTGCAAAATACACACACAGTTCTACTACCACACAATGCACCTCCCATCTAGCAACAGCAAAAATACTGCTGAAGTATTGAGAAACAAAGGCACATCACAGTTTTCTTCAACATAACAGCCCCATGCACTATCATTGCTGAACAAAAAATAAAAAATATATACCAAACACAAATTAATGTCTGTTGTGAGAGAATGCTTCATACAAACTTACATTTTCACTCAGGTATTTAGTGATGGTTTGTATACAATGACAGGCTTTCATATTTGACCTGAATTTATTGGATTAAAATATTTTCTGCAAGATTGTCACAATTAGAATCGCACACCACCAATATAAAAATGGAGCATTCAGGCATACATTTTTTCAGGTCAGGTAAAATCATCACAGTACCGAAAAAGATGATGAAGATGATAATGATGATGATGATGATGATGATGACACTGATGATGATGATGATGTTGTTGATGATGATGATGTTGATGATAATGATGATGATGATGATGATGATAATGATACATGTACTAATGATGACTATAATGACAACTCATAAAGAACTAGAGGTCATCAGGTAAATGGTCCAGTAACTGGACTATCACAGAAATGAGGAATACTTTTCTCTGTCCTTCTTCATTTATAGTTACTCCTTGTCCTTTTTTTTTCTCCTGTTTTCTTATTCTCTGTCTGTATCCATTTTCGAGTTGAGAGAGTGATGTTGTGCCAATCCCACCAGATTCAACATTCATTTTTGAAAATAATTATGATACATGAACCCAAAGCCTTGGCATCTAAACAGCAATCAATTCAATTCTTCTTCTTCACTTCCTGAATCTTCTTTTTCTTCTCTCCCTCCACTCTCTCTCCTTTTTAAAACATCTTTTTTTCTGCTTTTTCTTGCCCTTCTGTTGCATTTAATTTTTCTTCTTTCTCTCCTCCACCTTCTTCTTCTCCTCTGCATTTATAATACTCTGATAGTGTGAGTGTTATCTCATTTCAAATTGACACAACTCATCATACCTCATATTTGGTGAGACAAGAGTTCAAGGAGAAGCAAAAGGACAGTATGCTACACTATTCCAGCTCAACATTCCAGTATGTGTGTGTGTGTGTGTGTGTGTGTGCGTGTGCGTGCGCATGTGTGTTTGTATGTACATGTGTGTGTACATATATATATATATATATGTGTGTGTGTATGTGTGTGTGTATGTGTGTGTATATGTGTGTGTGTATGT